GGTCCATTCTTATTGATTTTAGAGAGGGGGGATACTTACTTATTGAACGCCCCTCGTACTAAGCACTGCAATTTGTAGCAGTATAATGTCAAATAAACAGCGTGCGTGTTCGATGCCAATTTCTATAAAAATCATTGTTTGCGCCCTCGCCTACGGTTTTTATCATTAGGAGGCACCTTGCGCTGAGAGAGGATGAACCAACTATTCTAGTTCCTACCCGAAAACTGTAGTCCAATTTTGGTCGAATCGACGGAAGGTTAGATGATTCCACTCACTAAGAATAGTATTTCGTCGAAAACTCAATTTTCGAAATTTTGGCGGTTACGCCCTTCTTGGAATAATTCGTTCAAATTTGGGGTTTTTCAGTGAATCTAGTTTTCTTCTTGAAGAAAGTGCCACGAAGGTTTGGCGCGTCGCTTCCATCATTGCTCACGAGATCGCGCACCAGTGGGTTGGGAACTTGGTCACGATGAAATGGTGGTCTGATTTGTGGCTCAACGAAGGACTTGCATCGTACTTCCATATTTTTGCTACAGAAGCGGTTGGTAATAAAACAAGTTGATACCGTACTGAAATACACAGGGTGGCCGGAGATCTGGAAAATCAGGGAAAGTCAAGGAATTTCTGATACATCTACTAAGCACCGAAATCGCTGATATTCCAACGGTTTACCCTTTCTGGTCCTCTTTGAGCATTGACATCTTTTTCCCAGTTACTGATATATCGATCTCTAAACAAGGAAATAGTTTCCACAGTTTAGCAAAATTAGCGCATTAAAAATGAAGAGGCGGAAATTTTGTTCGAAGGTCAGGGAATTTGAAGATGAAGAATTTATGGCAACCCTGATATAGTATACTGTATTACTATACTATGCTTCCGATATTATATCTAGTGGATATATTGTCGCCTACCTGACATATGGGCGTAACTACACTCCACAATGAACCCTGTCTTTCATACATTTCAATGATTTTTCGGGCTGATCTCAATGTGTCGTTACTCCTTTATGTCAGTCAAGCTATGATGTAGAGTCTATTGATACTATGTCTCCTGAAACACACCGATTGCTCATGGCGGAAAATGCGTATCTCATTTCCAATATTTATACTCGAGGTAGCAAGGTAGAGAAATGGTGCTGGGTCCACACCACGGGGAAGTGTTTTTTTTAGTTTTTTTTTATCCTCGTTTAAATGGTGGTGAGTATTTTTGTACATACTATCTGGAATAGTGCAGCGGCTCCACCGTCTATATGCACTCTGTTTCTTATTTTCTCTGATTTCTCTTCCAATTTACAGATTAATCCGGAGTGGAATGTCCAAATGCAATCGCAAATCGAGGATTTGACAACCACGTGGCAGAAACCGGGTCCTGTTCTAGCTTCAGTTTCGCGTCCTGAAGATTTTATCGGATTATTCGGCCCCGAACGCTACAAAAAAGGTTCTCATTCTACGATGCTAGATTTTCGAGCTTATAAAGTTTAGGCTTTTTTTCAAACCACGAAGAGGAGACGGTGATGTTCATGTTCTTTCCATGTATTCCTTGACTTAAAGGTGCAAGAGAAATTTTTCTACGAAAGGTGGCGCCTTCACTGTGTTATGATTTGTGTGATGAAGCTGATAGAATTCGTTTAGCGGGCTTACTATGAAATCGACGAACAAATGAGACAAAAGAAAATCAAGCAATCCTGTATTGGTTGAAACGGGTGGTAAACAGTAAGAAAAAGTTACCAAAATGTTGTGTAAATGCCGGACGCATTTCTATTAAACGGAACTATGTGCATTAAGACATGAGCCCTAAGACCCATAAGAATACATGCATACCAGGGATTACGTCATAATGCACTTAGTTCCGTTTGATGGAAATACGTCCAAATATGGGAAGTAAAACACGAAGCAGAGCCGGATTAGCGCTCAGGGGCCCGCACATTTGCGGGTTGCATACCCTCTAAATTGAAGGCAGTTCACGTTTCTTCAAAAATGGAATGGCTCGTTTGAGGTTTTATCTCCCTCCCGGCCGCA